ATTATATGATACTGTGTATATACTTGAATATAGAGAGAAATGGTTTCTCTTTCACGGGGAAATGGTTCGTATTCCAAAGCGAAATGCTTAGATCGCGTCGCTTTGTCCACAAAGTAATCGATCTCGTGGACGAAGTATAATGCTAGCTTTATTTTCTAGCACTAGTTCCATGTTTAAATTCAAGTAAATAAATTTTGTTTTGTTGTTAATTTTCAGTTGGATAGTCGAGAAGGACATTATTTATCGCATCTACCTTCGAATGATAACGAATAATTATCTCTGTTCATTTACTCTGTCTAAGTTAACATGCAACTTTCACATAATCATTCTCAATTCAAACAGAAACAATAAGATAGAATTTCCATTTAGTCGAACTTTCTCTGCATAATTATTTTTTTATATTGTGATGAAATTCTGTTTTCGAGATCGAATCTTTTAGTGAACTCTATGAATCCAACGAGCGACTTCACAGCAATCTCAAAGTGACGTGCATGCTACAACTAAAAACAGAAATGTGCATTTCTCAAAATTTAGCACATTATATTCTGCATTCTGCATAATACTATCAACTTGATGCACATGCCATCGTGTTGCCTATTATAAATGACATAGATGCCACATGGCGTTACACATATGTCCACCATGCTTCTCATTTTCTATCACTATGCAACTTATACAATCTCATGGTGAAGCAACGCTTCTTCAAAAATGAGCATTTGTAATGGGAAAAAACCACATCTACTCGAAACATCCGTTAATATGCTAAAAAAACCCTTTCTCTCTATCTGTTTTCAACTTCTGCTTATGAATTGGGATATAGATGAAGCATTTCTCCTAAAAAATTAACCATTTCTAATAGAAAAAATCCATTTCTGTTACAAAACATCCCTTAAGACGAAAAGAAAAAATCATCCATTTCTCTCTAGATCATGTTGATTTCTCCTTAAGAGTGGAGATGTGAATGAAGCACTTTCCCTTAAAGAATAACGGTTTCTAATAGGAGAAATCCATTTCTACTAGAGATATCGCTATGCTAAAAAATGAGGGACGATTCATGTCTCTCTTAATCCTTTCGATTTCTGCTGCTGAATGGAGAAATGGATGGGGCAGTTCTCTTTGTTATTGCTCGTTGTGTTGTTTAGTGATGTGGTCGAATGAAGGTATTCTTGTGGAAAAAAGCGTTTCCTTCGGACTTTATGTGGTTTAAGCATTTCTGCTTGAAGTGGAACAGTTTCTCTTTGAGAGGGGGGAAATGGTACAGCCCTCGTGGGTATGGGTGTCGATGTGGTTGTGGATATGGCTGTGTGGGTGTCGGTGTACGCCGTGCAATGATTATCTGGGCTGTGGATATGGGTGTACACCATGGAATGCTTATCTTGGATGTGGGTGTGAGTGTGGTGTGTGGGTATGTGTGTACGCCGTGGAATGATTATCCGGGGTGCGGGTGCGGGTCTTGGTGTGGGTGTGTGGATGTGTGTGGGTGTGTGGATGTGTGTGTGTGTGTGTGTGTGTGTGCGTGTGAGTGTGGTATGTGGGTGCGTGAGCGTGGGTGCCAATGTGGTTGTGCGCGTGCGTGTTCGTGTACATTGTGGCATGATTATAGACGCTCACACCTCACTCCACCCACCCATACACCCACACACCCATAAAATGCTGCGCATACAAGTATCATCATATATATATTGTAGTTGAGTTTAGAATCTATATGATATGGGAATCACTTAGTTCACTTTGTTTGTTTAAAAATTTTTCCAACACATATTCAAGAAAACTTTTTGTTTCTTGTCAAATTTCTATTTACTATAACTTCTCGAACAATAAAAGGTATCTCCGTACTGCTATTTTGTCGATAAAAAGCCATTAGTCATTCTATTTATTGTTTTTTGTAAAAGTAAATCTTACTCATGACTTTTATCGTGTAGTTTGACTATCGGTGCTCGGGACATGGGGATATTGAACGATTGGTTGAAACAAAATTGCGACTACTTGTGCTATTTGTTTCTATACAATGGATTCTTCTTTCGAGCTGCAGGACGTGGGGACCTTGAACGATTGGTTGAAACAAAATCGAGAGTATTTGAGCTATATACTTTTATAAAATAGTTTCTTTTCAATGCTCGTAATATGGGGGATCGAATTATTGGTTAAATGTTTAGTGTTAGCAAATTCATTGTTAAAAACTTGAAATTGAATGATTTATGCTATTTAGAAAAGCGACCAATCTGTTTTCGATTGATTGATTAATAATTCAATGGATGACACAAATGAATTACAAAATAATTCGAAATTTTTATAAAAACCACGTGGGTCTACCAGGGTCTACCATGGTCTACAAGGGTTTACCAGGATCTAACCAGGGACCACTAAAATCTACCAGGGTTTACCGTATATCTGAAACTTCAAATTTCGGTTCAAGTGAAATTACAGGTTTCTACTCTCAAACCGAAAATACCGCGAAGAATCACGCCCCGCACATATTTCCACAGGGGCATCATCACAGCTGATGCGGGTGCCAGGAAATGAGCTACATAAATATCCAATCACAAACATCGACATATATACACCGTCGCAGCTAGTGTCGATGCGCCGAATGAAGTTTAACACATCACGATTCACAAGCACACGGACACACACACACACACACATACACGCATAAACACACGCACGCAAGCACCATACGTGTGGGTGCGGAGAAAGGAGTTTCACGCACCACAACTCACACAAACACACACATGCACATACACAAAAAGAAACACAGGCACCATAGGTGTCGGTGCGGGGAAAGGAGTTTTACGCATCATCACTCACACAAGCACACACACACACACAAACACCATAGGTGCCGGTGCGGGGAAACGAGTTTTACGCACCATCACTCACACAAACACACACATGCACATACACAAAAAGAAACACCGGCACCATAGGTGTCGGTGCGGGGAAAGGAGTTTTACGCACCATCACTCACACAAGGACACACACACACACACCATAGGTGTGGGTGCGGCGAAAGGAGTTTTACGCATCAAGACTCACACAAGCACACACACACAAACACCATAGGTGCCGGTGCGAGGAAACGAGTTTTACGCACCATCACTCACACAAACAGAAACACACACATGCACATACACAAAAAGAAACACAGGCATCACAGGTGTCGGTGCGGGGAAAGGAGTTTTACGCACCATCACTCACACAAACACACACATGCACATACACAAAAAGAAACACAGGCACCACAGGTGTCTGTGCGGCGAAATGAGTTTTACGCATCATCACTCACACAAGGACACACACACACACAAACTCCATAGGTGTGGGTGCGGCGAAAGGAGTTTTACGCATCATCACTCAGACAAACATACACATGCACATACACAAAAAGAACCAGCGGCACCATAGGTGTCGGTGCGGGGAAAGGAGTTTTACGCACCATCACTCACACAAACACACAGACAAACACTATAGGTATGGGTGCGCGAAAGGAGTTTCAAGCAGCAGAACTCACACAAACACACACATACACACACACATAAACACCGTACGTGTGGGTGCGGCGAAAGCAGTTTCACGCACCGCGACTCACACGCACACCCGCGCGGCAGGTGGGAGCGGGGCGGAAGGAGTTTCTTGCATCACTATTTACAGAATCTCACACGTAGACACAAGTGGCACACGTGTGAGTGGGGTGAAGTAAGTTCGATGAAGTGAGTTTTAATGGGGAAACTTTTGAAGAACTGTTTGTCCATGATACACGCACATGCTAGAAAGAAAGTGCTGAAATTCGCATTCATCTTCATGCATGAGAAACGCAGGGTGTACAGCTTGGGCACTTGTTCATCCGTCGACAGTGCTAAGAGGTTTGAACCTCATGTTTACGCATGTCAAGCGTCACTGTTCGCGGAACTGACGGGCTAGCGTATAGTGTGTGATGATAACGATGCGTGGCATTACTGTGATTCAGCTTATTCCGCTGCTTTGGATCGTTATGGTTTTTCATTGCTCTCGTTGATTGCAAGCATTTCTGTGATAATCCTTAGGTTAGTGATGCGTCTGGTTTAATTTATAATTAATTGCGACCACTTCGGCATTCATCAGCGAGGAAATAAGGTATGGGGGCAAGTTGACGAACGTATTTTTAGCGAAAATGTTTGAGCGAATGAAATCAGCGAAAAAAAATAAAGTGAAATAATTATATAGCGGAAAGAAATTCAGCGAAATGAGAAATTAGCGAAGGAGTATATGAGCGAAAAAGCACAATTGGCGAAAGTTTTTTTCACGAAAAAATTGCAACAGCGAAAACACTTTTGCGCGAATTGCGAAAGACAAAACAGCGAAATTTTTATTTTTAGTTAAATAGAAAATAGCGAAATTCTTCTTTTTAATTAGTTAGAAAATAACGAACTTTTTATTTTTAATTAAATATAAAATAACATTTAACCAGACATAAGAAGTAAAGAAATATAATACGCGGATACCAAGTAATGAAAAAAGAACGGATATAGAAATGAAGTATGAAAATAAGAAATTCAAAGTTCTTTTTTCGAATTTTTGGCCACCAGCGTTGTTAAACCATGAAGAAATTCGAATAGATCAATTTGTTGTTGTTCACGACGTTTAGTCAATGTATCAATTTGTGCCCGGGTGGTGCAGGTATTATTGCTTGATTTCTTCTGTAAACCACTATTTATTTTTCCTAATTGTTGACGAAACGATAGTTCTTCTCGTTTTAAACATTCTATCAGGTGCCAAACATTAGGATGATGTTTTTCGACTCAATTGTTAAACTTGTTGTGCCAACCTATATGACAAAAAAAAAGATACATCTTTTCCAAAAAAAACAAACAGTTACCCTCGGCAAAGTTGTTTGTGCGGAATTCGAGGGTTGGCACATTCCAGTATTTTAGAGGTATTCGTTTTAGGCATTGATTTTCGAAATAATGAAAGAAATCCTCCATTTCTTCAGGTGTATCTTTTTTGAGAAGCTCGAAGGCTTTTTATATATATTCAAATGACAGAAGAGCAAGAGCCATTGTGCTTCGACAAGCTAAACGTATATCTTCGTCATTAAGATAAGCTTCAGCGAGATCAAGTGCTTGTACTTCTTTATAAAGAGATTGACATAGATGAAAGAAGCAACCATGATGCATTGCCTTGGGAAACTAATAAAGAAAAATTAAAGTAAATGATAAATTTAGAAGATACAAACTTTCTGTTTAATAGCTTTAATCAAGGACATTTCGAAGTCTGACATGATGTGAACTGGTTCAAATTTCAATTTTAATCGTTCAGCATGATATTCAAGTTCAGATAATAATTGTCGATATATAGCAGTTAACTTTCCCGACAGAAGACTAATAACATAAGGAAAATCTAAAAGAGAAACAGAAAATATAGAAACTTTGAATTATATATAAACTCACTTTGTTAAAATTTCAAGCAATGAATAGTATAAAGTTGTTTGAACTGTTTTGGACATGCATCGAATGTCCCATCGAGAAAAATCCACTCAGATGAGAATAAAAGTTCAAGTTGTTGATCAGTAGCAAAAAGAATCATTCTTTTTTTGTTTATTATCTTATCGGTACAAATAAATAGTTCACCATTGAATGTATTTCGATACGTATCAGGTATTTCAAATTCGCTTGATGTTGGTAATGGTGCAGTTGTTTTTCGACGAATACGATTTAAATTAGATTCTATAGAACACAGAAAAAGATTACAAATTTCAAAAAAACAAGAACTTACTAGCTTCAGTCGCAACAGGTGCAAGGATGAGAGCAGTTGGAGAGAGATTAGAACGAGCTAATTCCTTCTCATATATTTTTGGTACAGAATTTGTTTCAACTTGTACTCTATCTTTGACTTTCTGTTTCAAATTTCGAAGTTCAATTTGTTCTGGTGAAGGCATATGATGATGATGACCATTAGCTTTGAGAAAATGGTCGTTTTGGTTCGTATGAACATTAGCTGAACAACTATTTGAATTACAAGACCAGTACTTTACCCTCATTGCCGACTTTTTAAGTCGGTAAGAATGTCCTGAATAAATAAGCAAAGGTTTACTCCGATTCGAAGTGGTAAAAGAGAGTACTATTGAATCAGTCATATTTGGTCAGTTAATGAATAAAATGATGTATGTATGTATGCATGTATGTACATATGTAAGTATATATGTATGTATCAGCGAGCTAATATCACATACGGACGAATATATATCAAAAAAAAAAAAAGAATAAAACAGATTAGTTGGTTGGAAAGTGCAGAACGAGCAAGAGCTATCACTTATATACATATGCAACACGATGAATCACCGTTAAACATAAACAATCGAATCTCGCCAAGAAAAACAATTCGCTGAAATACCTTTCCCGATGTTGATTTCTGCTATTTTTCACATTCGCTAACTTTTTTTCGCAATTCTCGTTTTTCGCCCCTTTGCCTTTCGCAATTCTTTTTTTCGCTGTTATGCACCTTCGCTGAAATATATTTTCGATATAGTGCGTTTCGCGTTTTTTTTTCGCTGAATGGTCACCATATCGGAAATAATAAACAAGGCGTCTGTGCGCTTGATTCAGTGTTGCAACAGGTACCGACGAACGCTCGGTCCGATCTAGGATTTCTTACCAACTGGTAGAAGTGAGTTTTATCACACCAGCGGGTTTAGAAATTTTTCGATTTTTTGATTAATTTTTGGTCATTTTGTGCAAACATAAAGCAAAGAAGCGTTTATTTTTGCGCGTTGAACAAGTTTTACTGGTGCTCATGATAAAATCTACCCAGAAAAATGTGGTAGACTGTTTATATTAAGTCAGTATTTATGGAAATACACCTCATATATTTTATCTAGCCACTTCACTATAAGATGTTATCATAGAAAGCAAATGGAACCAGCATTCGTCGTTGTAATTTACGGCATATTTAGTTGCATTTTGTGCGATATGTATTATGTCCCTTCGTCAAAACTATGTTGCAGAGCTTGATTCGTGTTTCTATTTTACTGTTAACACGTAACAGGAATATGATAATTTGAGTGTATTTTATTTCAGGCTACATGATATTAAACCCCAAAAAATTAATAGTTTCTGATGGTTTAGGTGATAGTGGGGTATAATGTAGCATTACGTCTTTATTATCACAATGTCTTATACGAAATGAAGAAAAACTGGTGCATTCCAAACAGATGTCAATGCTACTCTCTGTATAGTTAAAAAATTAAAAAATATAACTTTTACCTAGCCACTACATAAACTGAAGTGTGGAGTATTTGTTGTTCTCTTATAGACAAGTTTATTATGTAGTTCACGGATCCTGCCTAGAACGAATATCACTATGTTAGAAAAAACTGCCCAGTGGCTTCTAACATCGAAGTCTCCGTTCGCAGACTAAAAGAACACAAAGAGACAGCTTTTCCACAATTTTTCAAGTCAGCTATAAAGATAGGATCAAGTTTCTTGCCACATCCTTTGATGTGCATTGATAATCATGCTTCACAAATGTTGGATAATGATGAAGTAGAAGATCTAAGTAATTAGTGTAGCAATTCACTGAAAACTATGACTCATATAGGATAAGGAAAAACAATGATGATTCATGTCGGTCTACCGGCCGGTCCCATCGGTCGCACAGGTTTGGGCCGGCACCGGTACCGGTCTAGAAAAAACCCGGCCAGTTGCAACATTTCACTTGATTCCGAGCGTTGCTTCCGCCATCCTCGCACAAGTGATGTATTCCTG